GTGGGGGGGTACCCCCCTTCCAGGCCGTACCTGGAAGCCGAGCAGGATGCAGAGGTACCAGGGGGGCACGTCCTCGATCCTGTAGAGCATGTCCATCTCCGGCCGGGGGGGCCCGGTGCCCGCCCCGGGGTCCTGGTGTGCGGGGGGCACAGCTCAGCCCCGACTTGACCCAGGGGGCTGGGGACGGGGGGGGGACACCCCGCACCATCCCCACGGGTGGCACAGACTGCCCCATGGGACCCCCTGCGCCCTCAGGGATGGGGAAGGGTCCCGGCTGGCTGGTCTCCATCCGACAGTGCGTTACAGAAGGATTTGGGGTGTGTGCTGTGCAGGGGTGCCCCAGTACTCACCCTGCCCACCGCGGGCAGCTCCTTCCCAGGGGGATGCAGGGGGCCAGCAGGGACAAGAGCTGAGTTCCCGTTCTGGCAGCGAGGGTGAGGCGGGAGCTGGGTCAGTGTTGTCCCGGGTGTCCCATGGGAACGGGGGACGGACTCTGCCCCGGGGATGCGAGGGCCAGCCGGCCATGGCTCAGCATGCGCGGCCGGTCAGCCCCACCCGGCACCAGCTCTGCCCCCCCGAGAGGGATCCGGGCTCCGAAACCCGCTGTCCCTACGCGATGGTTTGTCCCCAGGGGAGGGTGGAGGGGGGGGTCGTCCCCACTGGTCCTGGGGTGCCCGGACCACCCCCAGGTGCCAGGAAGGATGGCACAGCCAGTCCCAGCCGCAGCATCCCAGCCTGTCCCCTAGGTCCTGGGCTTCACCGCAGCCCTCGTGCTCATCCCATCCTTTGCCAGTCCCGGCTGGGCATCATGGCCCGAAGCTGGCCATCATTTGGGGTCGGTACCCCCGGCCACCCGCTTCCCTCCCCACTGCCCCGGAATACGGCTGAGGAGGGGACGGCGACGGGGACGGAGGCTGCGTTCACCTGGGGCTGAGCCAGGTCTCCCGAGCGGGTCCCCATCCTCCAGCGATGCGGCCCCGGCGGCAATGTCACCGCTCGAGGGGTTTTATGGCCACGGGAAGGACTTTAGTCACCACCTGGGCTGCGGCACGGGGGCGGCAGGCTGGAAGGCGGCCATTGGCTGCCGGTTGTGAAACTGGGGAGACCTGCCTTGGGGATGGATCAGCTATTAACTCCTTTAATTAGGGCTGGCACCGCCGGGGCCCCCCCGCCGTGAGCACCGTGTCGGTAAAACATTAGAGCCGGCGGGTTACAGAGTAATTCCCGGCTCGCAGGGGGGTCCGGTGGCGCGGGGCACCAGCTGCCACCAGCATCATCCTGGCCAAGGCCGGGCTGGGCGTCAAGGGACAGTCGCGACGCCGGTGACGGGCAACGCCGGGAAGGTGCCCACCTCCTGGTGTGTGTTGGCTCTCACTGGGGACGAAGTCGGCTCCGAAGGTCGCCGGGGCATTAAGCATTAACCGTGCCGGGGCTACAGCTCATTCTGCATTGCCTTGGGGGGGGCTGACCCCCCAGCCTTGCCGCCGGCGCAGGCCCCCTTCTCCCCGTGGCAGAGCAGCTCCCGCAGGGCGGCCGGGCCCCGCTGGTGCGCTCCGTAGATCTGCGCCTCTCCCCGCTCGCCCACGTAGCTGTGGCACATCTTGGACAGCCTGCGAGGAGCCGGAGAGGGTCACGCCACGACCCCTGCCATGGCGGCAAGGGGATGGTGCCCGGCACCCTCCCCCGTTGCCGACCCTCCTGACTTACCTGCCCGGCCAGGGTCCCCCCAGCACCATCACGCTCATGGGCTCCTGTCTCGGCAGCCCCGGCCCCGCCAGCCGCTTCTCCCCATCCAGCTCCTGCACCCCATAGCTGCGGGGAGAGGCAGGGGTTGGGGACACCCCAGAGTCCCGGGGGACACCCTCGTCCCCGGGGACGCCCCGCTCACCTCTCCCAGCCCTGCGAGCAGCTCCTCTCCAGCACCTCCACGTAGTCGGGCTCGCTCAGCGCCTTCCTGCCCACCTTCCCCTCTGCCCTGCGCAGCTGCTCCTCAATCTGGGGTGAAAAAGGGCAGAAACCGGCCAGTGAGGGGGGGCAGCCTCCCCATGATGCCACTCCCAAGCGGGGACGGGGTCTGCACCCCCCCTCCTTGTGGCCTTGGCAGCAGAAGCGCTTTTGCACAGGGTGGTAGGTAGTAGCTCCACTCCAAGGGAGCTCACTGGTCCCAAAGGGCTTTTTTGGGGTGCTGGCGGGAGGCAGCCGTCAGCAGGGTGCCCCAGGGGAGCCAGCAGCATCCCCCCAGGCCGGAGCATCCCCATGAGGCCACGACCCCTGCCATGGCGGCAAGGGGATGGTGCCCGGCACCCTCCCCCGTTGCCGACCCTCCTGACTTACCTGCCCGGCCAGGGTCCCCCCAGCACCATCACGCTCATGGGCTCCTGTCTCGGCAGCCCCGGCCCCGCCAGCCGCTTCTCCCCATCCAGCTCCTGCACCCCATAGCTGCGGGGAGAGGCAGGGGTTGGGGACACCCCAGAGTCCCGGGGGACACCCTCGTCCCCGGGGACGCCCCGCTCACCTCTCCCAGCCCTGCGAGCAGCTCCTCTCCAGCACCTCCACGTAGTCGGGCTCGCTCAGCGCCTTCCTGCCCACCTTCCCCTCTGCCCTGCGCAGCTGCTCCTCAATCTGGGGTGAAAAAGGGCAGAAACCGGCCAGTGAGGGGGGGCAGCCTCCCCATGATGCCACTCCCAAGCGGGGACGGGGTCTGCACCCCCCCCCTCCTTGTGGCCTTGGCAGCAGAAGCGCTTTTGCACAGGGTGGTAGGTCCCTGAGTAGCTCCAAGGGAGCTCACTGGTCCCAAAGGGCTTTTTTGGGGTGCTGGCGGGAGGCAGCCGTCAGCAGGGTGCCCCAGGGGAGCCAGCAGCATCCCCCCAGGCCGGAGCATCCCCATGAGGGTTCTCACCCCTGGTTTCGGGGTGCCATCTCCCCGATCCCCACCTGGAAGGCGATGGCGTGGCAGGCGTCGCAGCGCAGGGATTCAGGCATGTGGGGTGAGAGCCGCTCTTCGGGGCTGAGCTGGGGCGCAGGGATGGAGTGGGCGGGGGGGCCCCCGCACATCTCCTCGGCCCCCGTCCCTGCCAGCAGGCTCAGGGCCAGCCACGCTGCCAGCACCGGCCGCATCCCGCCGCGCGGCCCACCGTGC